TATATATATATTTCCTTTTTATTTTTTTAATTCTCCAGCAATTTGCTTTGATCCAAATTGTGTCATTCATGTTTTTTTTTTTTTTGTCTATTTAGTTTCTCAAATACATAGAATTCAGATTGCCTGTGTAATCGGTCAACAAGCTCTCTGAGTTCACTGATCAGAGTCCTGTTTTCTGTTTTCATGTGTGGACTGTGAATCAACCCGGTCACCACCGCTCTACGCCAACATGTTGCTGTGTGTGCATATTTGCGAGTTTGTCAACATGTCTATCAGCCCCTGAATCTCGTCGTGCTTCCATGACTGCACAGTACTTTGGCTCCACTAATCTGGGGATGTGTTTCAGTGGATTTGACTCAGTCATTGGATAGAATCACTATCATGCTGATGAGTTTGGCAGACTAGGAACAACATAAATCCAGCTAAATTCATGTTTTTTTTTTATTTATTTATATGTTTTAATCAGTTTATGGCTCTGTATTCATGGACTTATTCAAGACGTTTTATAGTGTCCTCTTTGGTTGTCTTTAAGGTGAGTTTGTAAAATACGACCCTACTCATTTTCCATGTGTTTTCAGGACAAAGTGTTGGGGGTTGTTATTGTCGCAAACACATCATGGGGTTAAATGACCACTGACCTGTCACCCTGATTTCTGCAGTCATGAAATCAGTCGAGCCAGAGGTCCTGGTCTTTAGGGCTCACCATCATGTTTTAGATGCATCTCTCTTTCACCAAACCTCAATCTAATGATTGTATTTCTTCTTCGGAAGCCTCCAGGGGCTGTAGAAGCCTGTTGATTACCAATTCATTTAAGTCGGGAGTGTGGAGGTTAGGGAACACCTAAAACATGCTGAACAGTGGGGCTTGATGACCAGTGTTGAAAACCTCTGCTTCAAGTGACTAAAAAGGCCTCCCTGCAGTTTTCTTGCAGTCAGTTCAGGCTTTAACTTCCACCTGAAGCTCCTTGTTGACCTCAGCTTGTCCTGAAACACCTTTTTAGCCCAGGCACTCTCCATCAGAACCTCATCCGCCTTCATGATCAACATCATCTTCTTCCTAACAACAACCATCAGTGGTGTACCTCAAGGCTTTGTTCTCTTCCCACTCTTCTTTTCTCCCTACTCAAACGATTCCACCTCAGTCGATCCATCTATAAGTTTGTTGGCAACACCACCTAAACTTGTCTGATCCAAGATGAGAACTTTCCATACAGACAGATGGAATGGCTGTGCACTAAGATCAACCTAGAGCTAAACCAGCTAAAGATAACAGAGGCTTCCGGCGAACCCCCCCTCATCTGGTCTGATGTTTCCTCCAACCAGCTGTAGATTAATGAAAAGAGCATCAAACATCCTAGATGTTATTGGTGTAGATATGTACTGTAAGGTCCCCAAGGCTGTTTCTCTGAAGACTATAGATTGATACCATGGATTGTCACTACCTAATCCATCCTGCAAGCACGATCCGTACCTTCAGTTCTTTTGCACATTGGCTACCAGATATACATCCGGGTCGCTCTTGAATTTCTTTGTAAAAAAACAAAAAAGAACTAAATTGCTTTTTTCCCTCCTCAAAAAAAATAGTAAGCGTACTAAACTAATGTGTTAAAGGTTAATAAATAAATTAATTCCTTAAAATCCTCTGTTTTATCAATCTTCTGTGCTAGATCTTGACAGGAAATGTAATACTACTCTACTTCCAGGAACTAACTTTTTCGGCTTCGAACTTAAACATAAATCTAGTCTTTTTGAGTTTTATGTTTTCCTTTCGCTTTAACATTATGGTATATGGTGCGTAACCTAAAGAAAGAAGCAACTAAATTGCATATAAACAGACAAGCACTTTAATGGAGAAAATGTAAAAAGCATCAAAATTGGTGAAAAATCTTAATCTCAGAAAAGTTATTTTTAAAAAAATTAAGATGTGTGTTAGCATTCTTCAGTGATTTAAGGATTTTAGTACCATAATTACATTATTAATTATGAAACCCGGATGTATATCTGGTTGCGTACACCCAAGTACTTCCAAGACGGATCGGTTAGTGACATGGATATTTGCACTATTTAACCATGTTCCCCTCTTTTGCAAAAAAAAAAAAAACTAATAATGAAAGAAAAAATCTCTATATACATACAAACATACATGTTTACTTAAATAAAAAACATCTAAAATATCTTTACTAAGAGCAGTGAAATTCCTCATCTGTGCGAAGCACCTCTACCAATAAAGCTGCCTCTGACCTGAACCTTTGATATTACGACTATCTATTCCTGCATCAACACATGGCACTCCATGTCACTCCAGCCGACACATGGCAACTCATATCCTCACAGTTACAGAGTGTGTTATTCACGCGTCATCATTTGCTCAATTATTCATCCGGACGACCCACTTGTTTGCTCTCCCTCCGTCTCCTTCTCCTCGCTCTGTTTTTCCCATGAACGCATTGCCCTCCTTCTCTCCCAGCTCATCAAAATTGAATGGCACTCAGCCGTGTCAAGGCATCCAACAAAGAAAAAGTAATGTTTCCTCATCTTTAACTAACATAGAGAATGTTCTCCTGAAGCGGAAAGTTTCAGAAAACTGGTTAAACAATAGATTTTAATTGTGAAATAGAGGGACCTGCGTGGTGTCTGCAGCGTATAATGGCAGGGCCCATTGTAATGATGTCTGGCAAACATTTTTATTTCTCATACGGCTCTGAAAGTGGGAGAGTATATACATATATTTATTCAGTGAGACAATGGAAATCCTGTTTAAAGGCATAAAATACCATTTTAATCTTTAGGTTCTCTTCCATTTTGTCAGGTGAACCTTTTCTATGTTGATGTGACCATATATTTTAAATCATTACCCTGCAGAAATGAAAGGTTTTCAGTTATCTTATATAGGCTACTGGGTTTTTATGTCCTGGTATTTTTAAATTGGCAAAGTCCACAGCTTTATAGGTCCTTCATCATACCAAAGAACTTGCATTACATTATATTATATATATATTTATCCTTTGTAGTAAGTGTTTCCATAAAAAACGTAAATTGTTGTCCAGTGTGAGTGGAAAAAACTATTATATTCATTAAATAACTAACAAACCTATAGCAGGGTTCCCGCGGGTCCTTAAAAAGTCTTAAAAGGCATTGAATTCTTCAAACTAATTGGTATTAAAATGTCTTAAATCAGTCTTTCGTAGGTCTTAATTTTTAAAACATCATAAATAGGATTATTTTTATTATGATTTATTTTTGTAATCTAAATAAAAAGTTAAAATTGACCTTTTTTTTTTTTAATAAAAAAAAAAATATAACGGCTCGCCATTATTGGTTCCGTCCCGATAGCGGAACCAACAAAAGCGTTGTTGTGGCCGGGACATTTGGGAGATGCGCCATTTACTATTTGTCTGGAAAATATGAGCAAGTGTAAATGTAATGAAAATTGGCTCCAGCCAGGGTTTTCTCCATGGCTAAAACCAGGGAACATACATGAGGCTCAGTGTATTTTGTTCAAGAAGTCATTCAAGCTCGGAACGATGGGAATTAAGGCAGTGGAGTCGCACATGCGAAGCGCGAAACACAAAGCTTCCAAATCGAGTTACAGAGAAACAGCCGGTATTTCTCAGTTTAGTTCCACCCTTGTCTCTGCAACGCCTCCACTTATCACCAAATCAAACATACTAAGAAAACGATACAAAGAAAAATAGCTGCAAAAAAGACTTTGTTTTGTTCCCTGCTAAAACAAAGTTTGTGAATTCAGTTAAATAATTGTTAAATATATCTGTCATTTGTGTGTTTTTAGCTTTCTTCCTGTATGGGAAGCTTTTCAAAATTTGAAACATTAGTGCAGTGGTTTATGTTAAAATAAACCTTTGGGTTAAGTTGTCGCAAGCAGTTTTTTCTTGTGTTTCTTGTGAATTTGGTCTTAAATTTGTATTTCAATTGGCATTAAGAAGTCTTAAAAAGTCTTGAATTTAACTTGCCTTATGCTGTAGGAACCCTGTATAGTAAAACTGGTAAACACTACAGGCCTTACTTTTTAAAAATGGTTGGCCTGTTTTCCCTCTGCAGGTCCTTGGAGCCACCTGGCCCCTTTTATGTTTAAAAGTTTTTTATTAGTTTTTATTTTGTTGTAATTAAATTATAGTCTGAGGGGAAAACATATAAGATTAATTAACAGTATTCACCAGTGTTCTTTGTTACTCTTTTTACAGTAACGTGTTTTGAATACAAGATATTTTCTGATTTTCATGGGGAAAAAAAGTTTAGGATACATTTCAAAAGCTTTAACATTTATTTAAACAAGCTTTTACAAATTAAACTTTATTTTCAAAAAAACAAAATGCTGGAAATTTTGCCAAACAATCTAATTATTGTAAAACGTCTTACGCATCACATAAATGTAGCCAGAGCTATATTTTTTGTTGCTACTAACAGATGGAGGATTGTTAAGACTTAATGCCATGAGAACATGTTTTCTTTAGGTGTGATGTGTTACACCACGTCCCCGCCTCACAGCTTGTTTATAAAGTGGTTTGCTTGTAAATCAACATGCTGCAGATTAGAAGCGGTGAGATTTATTTTCTCCAACTTCCTCCAGGGCCTCCTGATCGGAACCCCCAGCCCACCAGGCCTTTGCCCACGGCACCCCCTCAACGCTCCCATCCTCCATCGGACCCCCGCAAACCAGACAGGCAGACGCGACCCCCGAGGCTCCCCCCTGGAGACCGGCCGTCCCACCCTAACTCCATACCTGACATCTGCGACGGAGGCTTCAACACCGTGGCCATTCTGAGGAGAGAGATGTTCGTCTTCAAGGTAAATGGAGGCAAAACAAACCCGAGGCTTTTCCTCACATTAGTGGTGTTTAAACCTCGCAGCTGTTTTCCTTTTACTATAGCTCTGGATGTATTTAGTGATGATAGCCGTCACTCTTTGCAGACCAAAACAGCTCCACACGCCTCAAGTTATACTTCTCCTGCTTGACTTTTCTGCTGAAAAATACATCAGTTATTGCCTGAAACAAGCACAAGAAATTTAATGCAGCAGTATTTGAACGGTGTGACTGCTTGAGGTTTGAGATTCTGCCGACTGGAGGTGAATAAAGAATCGTTTAGAGCTTGCAGGTTTGCATAAATACCCAGAGGGTGGGATCTTCTCTGTCAGTCTGCTTCTGATTTATCATTTGTGTAGAGGGTGCAGAGTGGAGGCCGGTAATATCAACCTCCTCTTATTGGTTAGAGATTTTTGGTTGGTTTTTATTAATACAAATGAATAAAAACGGTAAAAGCTACTAAAACAAGAAGCTTTCCTGTCTGAAGGAGCTCTCTCTAGGTTATCCAGGGCCTCAATGATCAGAAATTTGGATCAAGTGGAAATCTAACCAAGACGAAGTGCAAACCACGAACAGAGGAAGGCTTTCGACCCAGTGAATGAGTCCAAACATTTACCCACTTGTGGGTGAATTTAGTTTTAACCCTAAGCCAGCACAAAGCTTGTCCTGTGTTTTTTACCAGAGTGGAGAAGTTGTGACTTTGCTTTATAAGAGAGTGTTTTTTTTCTTCTGCAGATATAAATAGATACGGTTTAGGGGCTGAAAGGAAGGCTTGTGGAATGGAGGCATGGACAGCTCTCTTTTTGTCATTTCTCCTCCAGACACCAAGGTTTTCATTTAAAAAGATAAATCTAACTTTAAGACAAAACCTCTAAGTGTGGAAACCTTCAAAGGAAATTAGACTCAAAGCCCAATCTGTGTTTGTGTTTTTCAATTTTTCACATTGGCTTAAAGTCTCTTCCGGTGTCTTTCACATGATGTCTGTTGACTTCAGTGGGTCTGATGAGGTGATGAGGATCACGGGGTGATTTATTAGGCTCTAAGAGGAAACATTTAGACGGAGACAATGTTCAGCAATCATCAGCCTGTTATGAGTTCAGGAAGTCATAGAGACGGTGATTAAAAACTGTTTCAAACTAGCATCGTGCTTCCATTAGAGGGAGAGATTATAAAGCTATAAACAGCGACGTGTTTTCAAATCAGTCACAACAGCTGAAACAATGAGGATAAATTGAAGCAGAAAGTGTTTCCTATTTTTCACGTTGTCAATATTTTTTTCTGAATTCTGATCATTCTCTAGTTTTAACTTCTCAACTTTTCAGTGAAACATATTTAAACAGCAAACTGAACCAATTCAATTGGCCAAATGTCTGAATTGGTTGATCAGCCCTTCTTTATGATAGGCAGTTGAAAAAAAAAAATAATATATATATATTAGGGATGGAACGGTTTATGAAAACCGTCCGAACCGTCGTTCGGTTCATGCGCTGCTCCTTTTTCTCATAGGCGAAGCGTTTACACTCCAAAGCAGAAGGTGGCAGTACTGCGACCAAAGCAAACCACCAGTAGTAAACAAGAAGAAGAAGAAACGAAGCAGCGTAGCTGGGTGCAGCAGAAAAAAATCAGTTGTTGTGGAGAATTGTGTGGGTATGGGAAGTGGGAAAGAAAAGGAGTTGGAAGACGCGCCAGCAGCACTTTATAGGTCTGCTGTATGGGACCGCTTTGCATTTAGAGTGATCTACGATGACGGCGGAAAGAAAGGGGTGGATAAAAACAGTGTGCAAGCATTGTGCAACACGTTTTGTTTATGCTAACTGCAACATGACCAACATGACATGCTAACCCCGAAATCCCACATACTCTGTCAGCGCTCCGCCCCGCTGCGCTCCAGACCGGCTGCTCAAAGCAAAGCCTACAGCCTCTGCTGTGGCTCCGGTCCGCTCCGCTCTGAGTTCCTTGGAGATCGTAGAAAGCATGCACGAGATGATTAAATTCAAAGCAGCAAAACATGTGGAAATGATCCAGGGTTTCCGCGAATCATTAAAAATAATTACAATTCATTAATTTTTGGGGATTTTTTCATAAATTTTTATGGGAGTTCGGGGTAACAATCAACATATACCGAACCGAAAACCGTGACCACGAAATTTTTTTGAACAGTTCTACCCCTAATAAATATATATATATATATATATATATATATATATATATATACACCAGATGACGCACCTTTTTGAGTTTTGAAATTATCAACAATAAAGAAGTATCTCTTTGGCACTTTGTTTTTGTGCTTCTGATGTTAGAATAAGAAAACTGAAATCATTCAGAATCAGAGTGGATAGTTCAGAAAAAATATATATCAGTATTGAATTGCACTCATAAATCATTGTTTTTCCTAAAGTCCTCAATGTAAATGTTTCTTTATTATCTTTTTTTTTTTTTTATTGTTTTGTTTTTTGATGATACTGCCACCAGTGGCCAACACACAGAACTGCAGCACACTTCTGCTTGTTCTCGTAGCGCGTGCTCGTACTGGACAGGGTTTTTATTTTTTTACGTTTTTACCTTACTTGGAGTTTCCCTTTGAGTCTGAGTTAAGCTGGATGCCTGTCACTTCTGAGTACCAACAAAATCCTTTTAGAATATAACGGTTCGCTTGATAGATTGGACCCGTTCAACATGGCCGCTCTTGACGTCACATCCACAGTGCGGGAACTTCTAACCCGAAAAACATTCTGGGATAAATATTCTACAGGTTTATATGGTGCATTTCCATTAGATTTTTCTAATGTGTGTTTTAAAGTATTGCATTGGGACCGCTTAATAGACATTAGCAAAATTTGAATAAAAGTACGCCAGCTAGAGGGGATTTCTTGTTTTTTCTCAAACTTTTACATTTGCTTTAAATCCAAATTTCAGTTGAATGGAAACACAGCTATAGATGCATTAGCTAGATTAACTACTGAGGTGTCAGTCTGCTAATCAAACAATATTTTACTCATAAAGGATTAAATAAAAAGGCTATTTTTTAGATATTTTTCAGTAAAAACTTGCAAAATGTCTTTTGCCATTTAAGTCTGTATGTGTTTGGGTAAATTATTAACTTGTTTCAAATAGTTTTTAGTGTTTCTGCAGCACCAGCTCACATTTTTCCAAAGGCCAGAGCAAAATCCAGGAGAAAAGATGGAGGAGAGACATGACATGATATAAAACCCATGAGCCACTGCCTCATTAGGACCACCAGTAGCATTAAAACTCAGCAAGCACCTGCTAAATGTAATTCCCCTTTTTTGTCTGTCGGATGTGTTTCTGAACTAGAAATCAGGATTATGAGTTTGAATTAGATTCAAAATGTTACTGTGTCCTCCCCGGAGGGGGCAGGTGGTCCTCATATTTCTCCATCCTCAGTGAAAGTTTGGCCAAGTTCTGCTAAATTACCGACGTATCGTGTTTGCACCTTTTTTTCCTCTTACAGACGAAGCCTTCACATCATAAAGGAGTTTATCTGGAATCACAATTAGAGATGTTTGCGTTACTCCAGACTCTGATAGATTTCCCTTCAGCCCCAGCCAAGACCTACAAACTAGGCATAACGACAAAAATCAGAAATGATGTTCAGTATCACGTTTGCTTATGTTGTGTTGCTTTACAGTCATTTATAATAGTCATTTCTTCAGCGTTTGGGAGTTCTATAAATGATTTGCTTGGTTGCGTTGGTTTTTTGGAGCCATTTGGCTCGCGCCGCTCAGCTTTACTCACCATTCTGCTTGATAGTTTTATAAGGCTGCAGTATGATCTGTGCCAAGTCATTACAGCAGAGATCGTAGCAGCAGATACAGACTGCAGATGTTTGGGGACTTTTAGTGTAGAGTTCATCTGGTGGAGGTACTCTGAAGTTATAATCAATGGCAGAAACCACTTTTAAAAGGTTGAAACGTGACTTTTTGACTCATCCTCTCATATATTATGGATTTACTTTTACTCTTACCTTCAATATACCACAGGTCATGTTAGACTTCTAGGTTTTATGAAGAGGATATCATCACCTGAGGTGTAGCTTCATTTAAACGTGGACTATATCATGTGAAGAGGAGCAAACAAGGCGAAGGGAAAAGAATTACAGAAGAGCTTCGTTTATGGTGTAGCTCTAATGAATACAGCAGTATTGACTCGTAGCTGTGGGTGTTATTTTCACTGGATTGTTTTCTCTCTTTGAACGCACATCGGAGCTTATTAACATTACAGTCATTTACACGTAAATGGAACATTTCCTCTTAATGTGCTCGGATAAAAGCTGAATATACTTTAGGATGATGAGCCAGTTTTCCCTGTGCACCAGCGAGTGAACCTCGTAGAATTGGAAATATATGTGCTGGAAAATAAAAGGGCAACAGATTGGATGTTTCCTTTTAAGGAAGAGGGTGTGCTTGCCTTTTTTTTTCTCAAAATATTACAATAATACACATATGCAAATGTAGGAAATAAGGACTGACATGAATAGGTTTTGGGACGTATGGAGAATAATACAGGTTAGCCTGATCATCATTTTTGGCAACTAAATGGAAGTTTTCATGTTTATTGAACTGCCTCACATTGCATAACCAAAAATAATCATATTACATCTGATAAAGTAGCACAGTGTTGGAGTTGAGCAAAAAAGCATGCAGTGTTTTTATATTTTCTTCATGCATGTACTTTTATTAAGCCACCATGACTCTTTATAACCACCATTAGCTGCAGCTTAAGTTGAAATTATTTCATGGGGTTTTTATGAATCTGTCACTAATGTTACATTTTCTGATTCATGCTGACATTAAAAAAAGAAATGCACTCCTTTATGTTGTATTAATCATTCACACTGGTAGTGACCGGTTGGTGGCTGATTTTTGCAAGGAGCGGTGGCCCTTGATTCCTACTTTTAAACGTGCTCTATTCAGGAGTATTAAAACTATTCATGAAAGGATCCAGGGATCTTTTCTTTCCC